TTCGTCATTGTCGCGTATCGTCGTGCTGGCGTGTTGTCGTTGTCGCGTGTTGTCGTTGTCGTTGTGTGTCCTCGTCGTCGTTGTGTGTCCTCGTCGTCGTTGTGTGTCCTCGTCGTCGTTGTGTGTCCTCGTCGTCGTTATCGCGTGTCGTCATGCTTGTGTGTCATCGTTGTCGTCGTTGTCGTGTGCCGCTGGCACCTGTCGTGGTGAGAACTGGGCATTGGGGTGGTGGGCATACGTACCCTTGGCCCATGACGGTGGCAACGTCATGGGCATTGTCCCTTGTTCTTGGCCCGTCATTCGACTGGTAGCTACCACTTACATCATGTACTCCTGAGCTGTACCATAGAAGTTCCTGCTTAGCTACCGTGAATGAAATGAAATGAATTTTCATTCATTCACGGCACCTGTTTCATTCTAGATAATTTATTCTGTTTCATTCATTCCTGGCGACTGTTTCATTTTTTTCTTTCATTCCACCAGGGCAACTGTTTCATTCCTTGCTTCATTCTTCTCAGGTGCCTATTTCATTGTTAGAGCTGGGAAAATGATTATGTAATTGATACAAAATATTTAAGTGCCTTATTTGGCAACAGCATGCCTATCTCATTGTGTATTTGAGCCTCAAATGCAAAAGTACTCCCATATGGCCTCCCACACCACTGCAGTAGGGCACAACACATATCAGGCATAATTGTATATTATTTCCTTATTTAGATGTGTGTTAAAACATCGAAATTGTTGCCTGAAAGAATGAAACAAAAATGAAATAACTGCCTGGAAAGAATGAAATGAAAATTCCATGGCAATGAATGAATGAAAAAAATGAAACAGTTGCCAGGAATGAATGAAACGAAAGAATAAAGCAAAAAATGAAACAGTTGCCATGGTGGAATGAAATTTAAAAAAATGAAAGAGTCACCAGGCATGAATGAAACAGAATAAATTGCATTCTTGTCAGTAGAAATGAAGAAAAAATTGAGATGAAATGAAATGAAACAAAAAGTATTTCATTCTCGACGGCAATGAATGAGAATGACTTGGAATGAAACAGGTGCCGTGAATGAATGAAAATTCATTTCATTTCATTCACGGTAGTTAAGCAGGAACTTCTATGGTACATGCCAGGTTTTACATGATGTAAATGGCAGCTACTAGTGGTCATTCCGCGTTGGCGTGGGCGTTGTTGGCATGGGCGTGGGCGTTGTTGGCGTGGGCATGGGCATTGTTGGCATGGGCGTTGTTGGCGTGAGCGGTGGTGGTGGAAGGGAAAGGGATGGTCACGGATGTGTGACCATGCCGCAAACAGGATACGTGACGATATGGCACGCCCTCAAGTAGTCACGTGATCTCACCCCGCAGACTGAACAAAATCATGAATCCTTATTGCAGCTATCACTACCTATACTAATATCTATAACATTACCTTTCTATTCATTAATCAATAGAATTATAAGTCTGTATAGTGTATTTCGCTTTTTTTGTAGTATTAATAATAATAAGTAATAAGCAATAATGCACTGGAATCACTGGAATGCACTGGACTCCAGTGGATTCTGACTGGACTCATAGTCCACTGGACTGGGACTGGACTCAGAAAGGTGGCTTGTAGTCCAGGGCATTCAGTAGATACGCTATGGAACCATAACAATAGAAATTGACAATTGTCCCAATAAGTCATAGGGCTACCCCAATGGGCCCAATTACAAAAGACATTATGATACTATACATTGGCCCAACAACATGACAATATGTATATTTGATTGTTGGGCCCAACGATGGTGCCACAGTCCAAGCTAAGGGTTTATAGATTGGCCACATGGCTTAAATGGGGGTAATTTTGGCTGTTGATATATGACGGTATTAAGGTACCATTGATAGTTGGGCCCAATGAAGGGAAATCGTTAAGGGAGATGGTTGGGCCCAATGGCCCAATTATTAAGCTACAGTTGATGGTTGGGCCTAATGTAAGGTATTTGTTAAGGGAACAGGTTGGGCCCAATGGTAAAATTTCAATGCTATGGCTTGTAAGTTGGGCCCATGCCATGATATAAACTATAGTTCATAGGTTAGCCCAATGATTATTTGAATTTTGTGGGTGGGCTTTGGTCCGGTAAACCTGCGGGTCCGCTCCTGTTCCATTGGACCCACGGCCGCACAATTGTGCAATTACACCCGCGGGTTGGCTATTGTGCAGTTACCCCCACAGGGTAGCTCATGTTCTGTTACCCCTGCAGGTTGCCACGCGGGCCAAATCATGTTCTGTTACCCCTGCGGATCAACAATTGATCCATTACACCCTCGGGCTGGCTGTTGTTCATTACCCCCACGGGGCAGCTCTTGTTCCGTTAGCCCCGTGGGTCGCCACACAGGCAAGATTATGTTCCATTACCCCACGGGTCGACAATAGGTCCATTACACCCATGGTATCTTATTCCGTTACACCCACGATGTCCAGCTCTTGTTCCCTTAGACCTGCGGAACCTTCTTCCGTTTGGCCCGCGGGTTTCCAATTACAGCCATGGACCATTTGTGGCTCCCCCGCGGGTCTCCGATTACACCCACGTATTACCTGCTGCTCCGTTACACCTGTGGCCACCCACAGACCACCTGCTGCTCCTTGACCAATTGGCCCTCTTCCATCAGCCCCCCACCCGTGGGCCACGTTTGCAGCTGGCCTGCAAAATGGACCGACAAGTGTGCCTTTACATTCACAGACCATTATTCCGTTACACCTGTGGACCAGCAATTGTGCCGTTACATCCACAGACGAGCACTTGTTCCATTACCCCCGTCAGCTGCACTCTCATCCGCGGACATGCTCTTGTTCTGTTACCCCCGCGGACCAGCAATTCTTTTATCTGCGGACTGACGGATTACCTACCACTCCGTTTCTGTGGACACCCATTGTTGCTGTTGGACCCATGGGCCAACAGGTCTTTTGTGGCACCCATGGGCCACACCATTTGTTAAGCCCATTGGTCCGTTACATCCGCGGGCCACCAGCTAGAGCTCCACGGACGTGAACATCTGGATTTGTATTTAACATGCTGAATGTCATTGCCCCGAAAATGCGGCTGAAAAAATGTCCGGATTTGTGATTAACTTGGTGAACATCACTGATCCGAAAATGCGGCCGAAAAAACATCCGGATTTGTATTAGTGCAACAATGTCCGAAGTTTTGGATGTAATTTTGACGTGGACCAGACAACCCCCCGTGGAATGCTCTGAAGTCCGAAATTTTTTAAGTTACTTCCATCCAGATATAATAATCCCCGTAGACTGCACCAATGTCCGAAATTTTGGATGTAATTTTGACAGGGGCCAGACAACCCCCATGGAATGCTCCAATGTCTGAAATTTATACTTCCAGTACCCGAAAATGTGGTCACAAAAACATCCGGATTTGTATTTAACATGCTGAATGTCATTACCCCGAAAATGTGGCTGAAAAAATGTCCGGAGTTGTAGTTGACTTGGTCAATGTCACTGCTCCGAAAATGCGGCCGAAAAAACATCCGGATTTGTATTTAACATGCTGAATGTCATTGCCCCGAAAGTACGGCCGAAAGAATGTCCGGATTTGTGATTAACTTGGTGAATGTCACTGATCCGAAAATGCCGCCGAAAAAACATCCGGATTTGTATTAGTGCAACAATGTCCGAAGTTTTGGATGTAATTTTGACATGGACCAGACAACCCCCCGCAGAATGCTCTGAAGTCCGAAGTTTTTTAAGTTACTTCCATCCAGATATAATGATCCCCATAGACTGCACCAATGTCCGAAATTTCGGATGTAATTTTGACAAGGCCAGACAACCCCCATAGAATGCTCCAATGTCCGAAATTTAG